CTAGTCTTCCCTAGAATGAGTTTAAATCATGTTTGGAAAATGAGCTGGGACATGAGTGGTAGAGAATCTGAGGGCCAAAATCAAAGTGGGAATGGAATGAGAGAGAGAGAGTTAGTTATGACTGCAGAGAAATAAAGCAGAAATATGAAGAAAGACATATATATTTTGTAGAAATGTGATAAGAGGGAGTGCAATGACAGCTAACTTAGCTTTCCCCCACCTACCATTAGTGTTCACACAAGTAAACAGGCACGGCATCTTGAGAAGTACAACCTGCACTCCAAACCCTCCCCTAACCCTTTCAGGCCCTCCTCTCTCTAGTCTCCCATGTGTCCCCTTCCCAGTGCCTCACCAGGCCACCATTACTGCTTGAGAAGTTTTTGTTTCTCGGCCCTCCCGTCGACTCAGTTTTCTTGCAGCTCTCACCACTTCTTCCTTGGTTTGGAAATCTCCCAGGGACCACTCATGTATAGGGTTCTCATCATACTGTATCAGGCCCACCTGAGAATAAAGTGTATAGTCAAATGAAACGTGTATATGAGGGTGGATATGGAGAAGAAAGTATGTGAGGGAGAGTAGATGAGCATCTGGATACTACTGAAGATACTATCTACATCATAGAAAAAGTTTTTGTAATCCTCACCTGAGAATATGTTCATTGATTCTAGAGAAAGAGTGAGTAAGAGAGAGAAAGAGAGGGAGAGAGGTCTCTCCCCTCCAAACCCATCCTTACTGCCTTCTCTTACCTGTATCTGCTCTGGGTCAATAAACAGTCTTCCTACCAGTCTTTGTAGGAAAGTCTGAACTTCAGACCAGGGGTAGATGCTGTTGGAGCCATCCAAGACAATGACAACATCCATGTATGTAGGGCAGCCTAGGAGGAGCAGTATGGTGATGGAGAGCAGAGGGGTACAAGAGATTGAACATGAAGGCAATAAGAGAAGAGGTCACAAGAGGGCACACTCAAACATTTATTAGGCACTTCTGACATGCAAAGAAGGTAGTATGCTAGGCTCCCGGTAAATGTAGAAATGAGTAAAAGAGGAGATGGACATGCACGCAATTTACTAAAAAAAACAATAAATAAAGAACTAAGCACTAGGTAGAAACATAGTACCACTCTATGCTGTGGGAGAACAAATGAAGGTCAGTTCCGTTGGTAAACAATCAAAGGGGGCAGCAACTGAGAAGATATTGAAGAATGAAGATACTTGAAAAAATAGAATATTAAAAAAAGGCTTTTTGGTGAAGAACTTGGTAAATAAAAGGAGATGGAGGTATGAAATAGATGACACATTAGAGAATGATGAAGTAGATGCTGTAGCCCAGGGTGTGGAGGAACATAGTGAGAGTCAAGGTTTTGAAGTTGGTTTGATCAGTTCATGGAGTCTTAATGCCCTGGCTGAGACTGAATTTTAATCTGTTAGGAAACATTGGAGCTATGCAAGTATATTAGGCAGCAATGAAGACAGGCATTCAGACCTCCTGTCAAGCATCATATCCTGATGCCCCATCTTTTTCCCACCCCGCACCCCATTCTGAGGACTAAATCTTCAGGCCCTTCTTCTGGCTTACGTTGTACAGTGGGTGCCAGGCTTCTCTGGGGCTGGAATGAAGCACCTACATGGGCACATATACCAGAACTGAAGATGGAGGAACCGCAAGCACGAGACCAGAGAGGGGCATAGGCCTGGGGACAGGTGGGGGACACAGTTACTTCCTGGTTGAGAGGGAACCCTCAGATCATGTTCCTAGTAGAAAGAGGCATTGAGAGCCACTCCTCAAGATTCCCCTCCTTACTTTCTAGGGTTTTTAACTCCTTGACCCCTCCACATAGACCAGTTTCCCTTAACATACTGCTCTTTTCTTTGCCACAAACCTTCAGAGACCCTGCTACTACCCTTTCCTTAGCTCACCATAAATCCCCCATCACCATCTGTCTCTAATAGAGACATCCCCAAGTGCATATTCACAGCAGGATGAGATGAATTTCCCAGTCGATAGTCACCTGGTTGGGGGGGATGGGAGAAAATGAGATCATGGAATCACAGATGGTTTGCTTGAACTCAGGGTGATTGTAAAAGAATATGAGAAAAGATCAGAAGTAAGTCAGGGGCAGGGAGTATGTGGGATGGGGGGTTAATGTGAGGTATAAGGAAGGGGTCAACGTTACTAGCATATAAAGGTTAGGGGTCAGGAGTGGAAGAATGAGGCATCTTCTTACCCAAGTGGCCTTTGGCACATGGGGCATTGTGGGAGCCCTCTATAGGGCAGTGATAAACATCTCCCCTTCGGTCACCTGAAGGCCCATCCCAGGGAGCACCCACCAGCATCCTGGGGGAGGACATGAATATAAGCATAGTGTGAACTTGACCTTGAGGTAGATCAGAGGGAAAGTGCATGGGGGTGGCAAATTTAGAGCCCCAGCCACTTCCAAAAGACCAGTTTAGTTTAGATTCCCATCTATCTTGCCTCCCCTTTAACAGCTCTATCAGAGTCCCAGTCCCATGACCCTCTGGTTTCCTCCTCACCATCGCTGTCCACCCCCAACATGTTGTAAGACGCTGTATCCAAATTCAGCCTCGGGTGGCCCTGGGAATAGGTGTGGGTGACACACATTCAGGTTAAAGGGGGAGCAGAGACCTAAGGGACCAGGATCATAAGGTTAGCAGGAAACAGTCAGAGAAGCTAATGAATGCCCAGAGGGCACAACCAGAGAGAAGCTGTGAAGGAAATGTTTTGATAGTCTGTCTCTCTGCTTATTACTCATAAGCTGTCCTGGCCTCTGTCAATATCAGGTACTCAGAGCTCCAAGCAAAAATGATGTCATATTTGGGTTCAGCTATCTAACCTGTGGCACTCTATCATGCTAGTGCACAGCTGAATTTCCATTCCAATACCTGAAATCTCAATTGCAGACATGTCTGGTTCAAGTTCCTCTTTTCCACATCATTTCTCCTACACATCCTCCTCCCCAAGCTGTGAGGGTCAGACAAGGAAGAGAGTCTGTCTGCAGCCCTAGAACAAGTATTCCTTTCAAATTCTGCCCAAAATCAGGACCATAGGGAGAACAGGAGGAGATTAAGAACACTGAATGTCTGGGTCTCTATTTTCTCTTTCTCTTCTTGATTCCCAGGGTCATTGTTATGCATTCACTCTGATTCTCAATGTCTATCTAGGTCTCTGGTTGATTCAAACCCTGAAAACCTCAGTGGTAATTAACTGGGTGGGGTCACTCGCCTGCCCACACACATGGTTTGCTATTCATCCTTAGTAAGGCTCCCTTCACCCTAAAGTTTCCCCCAACCAGCTTCTTTTCTACTCACCCACCCTCCCAGCTGCTCCGTGCCTACCAGTATTTCTTCCTCAACCCCCAACCCATTCTAAAGACCCCCAATTCCTTGCTAATTCTCCCCTCCTGTCCTTTAAAATCAGAGCTGGTATTTTAGAAAACAAAGATTACAGAGCACTGGTGAGGAAAAATTCCAGGCCTCTGGTATCTCCCATGATTCTTTCCCTGTGTCTTGCTCCTTCCTTTCAAGCATTCCCCAATTAGGCCACTCCACTACCACTACTACCAATGGCTATACCTCGTCTCAAACCATGCTCATTTTTAAAGAGGTGTTTTGTACATGAGCCTTTTTGCCTCCAGGAAACTGGCAGGGATACCCGACTGGGAACTGTAGCTTATTGGTTAGATAAACCCAGAGTTCTGACCACACAGGTAGTCAGTTATGCCTCAGGCCCCAGAGACCACCAAGAATAGGGAAAAGAAGGGAGGAGTATAAAAGGAATCACTTTTAGCCATGTGGAATATCACATTATGCTTCTTTTTGGTTCCCTAACTTCTCCAGGGCTTAGAACATAGGTTTTAGATAATTAGGCACAAATCTTATACAAGGCTCTGACAGTCTCAATACTGAAGCAGTCATATAGTGTGGGCATAAGAATGCAAACACACATGCATACAGACACAAACACACTAGCAATGGAGCATTGGTGTTCATCTCTCACCCTAACTCCCAAGGAATTTTAACCCTGAGGTCCCAATACCAAACAATCCATGTATCTTCAATTCCTGTCAGAAACCAAGAAGTTAACCTCCCTCACCTGTCAGGAACATCAGGGACAAGAACAGGTGAGGGATGAGGGGCAGCTCCATGCCTGGTTGTTTGTCCGTGTAAGAAGTCCTCTGTACCTGTGTCCCTCTCCTTTTCTGCTTCCTTTAGTTTCCTTCCCATCCTGCCCCCTCCCACTGCCAGCTAAAAATAAAGTTGGAAGGAATGGGAGGAGCAATGTTTGGAAACTGTGGGAAGCCCCAGAGGAAACAGAGTGATCTTGTTCTCTGCCTCGGTGCTGCCCTCTGGAGGCACCATCTCCGTATTCAAAGAGAACACAATTACGGAGAATTTCTGCTCGCTGTGCGCGCTCTCTCTCATATTCTTTGTTGTTTCCAAACAATAATACTTTCTTCGGGTTTCGAATAGAAAGTAGGAATGAGAGACAGTTCTTTTACTACCTAACCTTACTTATCCAAACTTGAGATATGAAAAATAAAAGAACTAGAATAACAGTGGTTTGATTTCCCCACCCACCAAGGGGAATCCCAACATGTGAAGACATAGCCAACCCACAAACTAAGCCTTACCAGCCCACTCCACTTTGTTCTGTTAGTGACCCTTAGTCTGTGCTGCCTTGTGGCATTACAGTTTTTGGAGGGACTATAAACTATGAATTGGTATGGGATGTGATTTGTGGAAACAGTATAATTACTTTAACATTAGATTTTGATCTTCTCAAACTAGGCTACAAATGTCTAACGTTGGGACTGTGGCATTAAGCTTTTTGTATCTCTACCACCTAGTATTATGCCCTGCATAGTTTAGGTGCTCAGTAAAAGTCTGTGGGTAATGATGCAGTGGCTAATACCCTGGAAAATCCAAACCACGGTGTCAGAAACAGGAGCCTTAGGTGAAAAGAATACATAGGACCAGACCAAGTATCAATGAACAAACTGATCTTTAATTTGCTGACCTAAAGGCTTGTTCTCCATTGTGGGTATGGGCCCTAACTATTTACACAGAATAACTGTACAATATTTACAGCAAGATGTTAGACATGGCATCATTCTAGTCAGGCAAAGAAGGGGTAAAAACAGATTATGAACAAAGCCCTGAAATCAAACATAAGCAGAAATCTGCAGATGTGAATAGAGGGAAGGGTAAGGGCCAAGTCATGAGGGATGTTGGTAAGGTAGACATGAGGGAGGAAGAGCATCATACCACTTCCAGTGCATGAAGGAAGAGTCCACCAGGATATAAAATCTTTAAAATTATATAATTTGTAGTCTGAAGGGAGTAAAATCTGCCACAAGCCACCTTTGTGAGGAAAAGAAGGCAATTAGAATCTTATAGACTATACCTTTTACCTCCCCTACAAAAAAAGTAATTTTGCTGCTGATTAAATTCCTAGGACAGGGACTGAAATACAGAACAGAATCTTAAACAGATTTAAGAGAGACAAAATAAAAAGAGTCAGGAGAGACACAGACAACGCAATGAAAGAGGAAAAGAACAAAACTTCCAGCAGATCTGAACATCAGAATCACACTAACTATACAGGTAAGCTTTCATCCTCATCTTGTCCAAAGCTCCTTCCTCTACCCCTAAATCTCTCAATTTTAACTTTAAGCAAGGAGTAGAGTTAGGATGAGTCTGGTACATTGGGGACAATCTAAGATTCATCTCGTCAATTCAGGTTCCCTCTTTATCCCCTACCAGAATATCAGGGCTTGAGTCGTAGCCAAGGACAGATTAGGGTGAGAATAGACAGGATGGAGGATATGAGGCCACAAAGCCCCACAATGCCAGGGCCACTGTGCCAGAGGCCTAGTTTGTCCAGTGGAATGAAGAGATCACAAGCATTTCTGACTACATCCAGCAGAAGGGGAGGATGACCCCGAAGGACCCGAGCCAGGAGAAGGACTTGGAGCTGAAGCTTCAGAGCCAGTTGGGACAGGCCTCCTCCTGGAGTTCCTGGAACCCCAGATCCCCAAGTTTCAATTCCTCCTGTGACTCCTCCTCCAGAACCCTTCTGTCGCCGGCTATAAACTGAAGACTCTTGTTCCATCAGTAGGCGGATCTCATAAGCATCACGGCTCAAATTCATGATGAGTGAAAACAGATAGTACCTGAGATACACAGGACAAAAAGGTCAGTAAGGATACATATACCTACTTAGCATATCCAATAGAACACTCAAACATTTTTTACTCTATAACAAGAATACAAGACTACATATTAGAATATCAGAAGTGAATGCTAGTACCCACTATTAGAAATGTCCTTGACCTTTCTATAACTAATATATTTATATGTACCTTAAGTTCCCGGCTTAAAATTCATGAGCATCATCAAATCTCCCAAGATCAACCTCAGATTTCACTTGGCAACATATCAGCACACACACATTCAACTTGAATTACAATAATATAAATATGTTTTAAAAGAACAAACTTTGGTCATTTCAAAAAGTCAAATTATAGATAATTTAAATTCAACCTTTAAAAAATATCTATCTATCTATCTATCTATCTATCTATCTATCTATCTATCTATCTATCTATCTAAAGAGGGAAAGGGCCCTGGCTAGTGTGGCTCAGTGGACTGAGCACTGACTCTGAATTAAAGGGTCGCTGGTTCAATTCCCAGTTGGGGCACATGCCTGGGTTGCAGCCCAGGTCCCCAGTTTGGGACGAGTGAGAAGCAACCACGCATTGCAGTTTCTCTCCCACTCTTTCTCCCTCCCTTCCCCTCACTCTAAATAAGTAAATAAATAAAATCTTTTAAAAGAGAGAGAGAGAGAGAGAGTGGGGAAGGGAGAAAAAGAGGGAGAGAAAAAGAGAAACATCAATCAGTTGTGTCTTGCAACCTAACTGGGGACTGATCCTTTAACCTAGGCATATACCCTGAGACTGGGAATGGAACCAGTGTCTTTTGCTTTGCAGGACAATGGCTGACCGACTGAGCCACACTGTTTAGGGAAAATTCAGTACTTTTGCTAAAAGCCCAGAGGTGTTAAGCAGCTTGTCAAATGTGTTAAATTATAAATTCCTTAAGAACAGTCTATGTTTTTGATACTTTAAAAAAAGTTTTTATTTTATTTTTAGAGCGAGGAGAAGGGAGGGAAAAAGAGAGGGAGTGCATCAATGTGTGGTTGCCTCTTGTGCACCTACTACCTGATACTGGGGACCTAGCTGTGCCCTGACTGGGAATCAAACCAGGGACCCTTTGGTTCACAGGCCAGCACTCAATCCACTGAGCTACACCAGGCAGGGCTGTTTTTGATTTTTAATCTACTCTTACAACAGTGGTCTCTACTCAATATAGTTGTCCTACCTCCAAAACACATCCTGAATCTAAACACATCTCTCTGTTACACTCTGTCTCCACAGTATAAGCCACCATCATCTCTTGCTGGAGCTACTACTTCAGTCTTTTAACTTGTCTTTCTATGGTGACTCTTGCCCCTTACCCCCAATGATCTAATCTCACATAGTATGTAGCATAAACTCTCCTTCTTAAAACTCTTTATATTTTCCTTCCTGTCACATTTAGAATAAAATCTAGGTAACTCACACAGGCTTAGATAGACAGGCTTTCAGACCTCAACACCTGACCCTGCCTCTCTAACTCGACATTATACAAATCTTTCCCTCAATCACTAATGCTCCACCCATGTTTCTTTCTATATTTTGATCCCATCAAGCTTGTTCTTGCTTTAAGACCTTTACACTACCATATCCCTCTACCCGGAATATTCTGCTTCCAAAATCTTCAATTGTTTGGCTCTTTCTTCCTCTTTGGGTATGAGCTTAAATGTCACCTTTTCAGAGAGGCCTTCTCTGATCCCCCATTCTAAAGTAGCTGGTCATTTATTTTCTACCACATTACCCTATTTTAATTTCCTGAACAGAATTTACCACTATCTGATATTCTTCTTATTTGTTCTTTATGTCTGTCTCCTCCCATTACAATGTAAACTCCATAGGAGCAGGGACTTTATTTATCTTTACCACTGTATCCCTGTGTCTAGACCAGTCACCTGCATATAGTAAAAGTTTGATAAATATTTGTTGAATGAAATGAATAAACATGGCATATAGACTCTTCTAGGTAGGTGCTTTTTCATACTGCTTCAATCATGCCTCTGTCCCCAGCCCTCTACAACATATGACATGTTCTAGCTATAAATCACTGAAAAAGATGAAGAAAAAAGCAATGCATAAATGGAGATAGAAGGATACCAATATAATCTAAAAGGACAAAGAGAATCATAGCAAAAAATAAAATAAAATACAGATGATATGTATACTATAATTTATTCCCAAATCATATTTCTCTCCACCTTCATTACTAGCCAGACCCTTATTGAAGCCAACATTATTTCTTGGCCATATTAAGACATCTCCTCTTTTGGCCCACTGCAATCAGTCCAATTTCCACACTGCAGCATTAGAGCACTTCTTTAAACACAATTTTGAACTATGTTCCATCCCTACTCAGAACCCATTTTACTAAGGATAAAATGTTTTTTAATAACTAAACAAAAAGCCCTGGCTGGTGTAGCTCAGTGGATTGAGCATGGGCCTGCGAACCAGACAATTGCGGTTTGATTCCCGGTCAGGGCACATTCCTGGATTGCAGGCCAGTTCCCTGCAGGCCAATTCCCAGCAGGGGATGCACAAAAGGCAACCATACATTGATGTTTCTCTCCCTCTCTCCTTCCCTTTCCCTCTAAAGATAAATAAATAAAATCTTAAAAAAAAAACTGAACAAAATATCTTATCATTGCCTAAAAAGGCCTTTCATGAATCATTGACCCCTGTCATCAACCCTGTCTATTACATTGTCTTTCTTTCTATTTTCCTAATTCCCCAAAGTCTTTTTTGGCTTACGGTCTTTAAGCATGCTATTTTCTGTTTGGAAAGTCTTTTTGGCTGCTGTTTGTTTTGTCTAATTTCTACTTAAACTTTGAACTAAAATATTACTTTCTCAAAGAGTTTTTTCCTGATTTTTGTATCTAAATTAGCTCCTCTTGTTATAGATCTCGTAACTCCCTGTATTTTTCCACAAATATGTAATTTGGTGTTTATTTATTTTAATATATGACTACCCCATGTCTGTTTGGCTTGGCAGCAATTTTCAATCAGTGTGCCACAAGAATTTTTAAAACATGCAGTACCTAACTATTTAGTCAGGGGCAATAACCTCTCTTCTCCTAGACTGTCAAATAAAAAAATGACAATGGCCAACACAACAATAGCTGTCTGGTGTATTCACCGGACAAAATTATCCCTATTTTTTGGCCAGATGGCAAAAAATATATTTTTCGCGTGCTGCAGAATTTTAGTAATTAGTTTATGTGCACCACAAAATGAAAAAGGTTGAATATCACTGATCTATAGTATAAATAGAAGCAGAATTAAAGCCATATACCTTCCTCATTCTTAGTCATTCATCATGGAAGAATGTTTATCTTCCATCTGCCTCCAACCCTTATTCTCTGATAGTTTAAGATCTAAATAAAGACTGGAAGCCAAATGACTGATTAAGATGTGTACATTCTGTGAAGCCCATGAGAAATCTTTCTCTTATAAAACGCAAGTATGCAGTAAGGAGAATACAAAAGGTCTTGTAGAATAAAAGGATATCAAACCTGTATGAACGCTGGACCCACTTCTCCTGATCCACACCGGGAGCCAGTCCAGACTTTCCAGCCCACAGGACATTGTCACAGGCAAAGTACAGGGCTCGATTGAGGTGACTAACAGTGATGCAGAATCTTAGGACAACATCTGATAGGTGCACAGCTCGTTTGGCTGACTCAAGGGCATCTGCTGAGGTACCCAACCGTAGAACTTGTGGGGATCAGCAGGGGAAGAGGAAAGATTTGGAAGCAGAGAGGCAAACAGAGAGCAAAACATAAAGAGAAAAAGCAAGCAAATGAAAGTTGAGCAAGTGATAGAAAAAAATAACAATTTTTAAAAAGCAGTAATAGTTCATTCTTTTTCACTTCAAATTTTAATTTGTATCATGGTTTAGTTTTCTTAAACTTGCCCCATTCTCTCCAATTTTTCATTACTCTCTAGCTCCTGTTCTCTTATTTCCATCGGGAGGCACACAGGGGATAAATGCAGGGCCAAATAAAGGAGAACTGGTAAAGAAGGTCAAAAACATGAAGGGGGGAGTAAGGGAGAATAGCTAGGGATAAAGTGTTGGGGTAATAAAGGAAGAGGCACAGTTACTTACGCTTTCTTCCTAGGCTCAGATGACCCTCCAGTTGTCGAATCTGTTTCTGTAACTCGGGACTGGCCCCACTTTTCTGCAGTGTGTGACCAAGAAGTGAGCAGGCGTACTGGGCGGCTCTGGAGGAGGACACAGGCAGGGTAAGGTGGAGACCTTCCTAACCTCCTGCTCAAAAATGTCCTCCAAAAGGTAAGTATGGACTTCCCTTTTTCCAGGTTGAGACCATTCCCTTTCCTCCTCTTCATGTCCATAACTCACTGTTTCTCTTCAAGCCAGGGTAAGGGAAAGGCATAAGAATAAAAAGGAGCCTAGGAGTTGGGCTCAACTTAAGAGTTGAGAAAATAAGAGACTTGGCAATGCTGATGGCCGAAGAGGACTGTGAAGGCAGAAGGTGGTCATTACAAGCACACCAGGGAGAGCAAATCTGTGATATGTGAGGAGCTTGGGGATAGTTGGCGGGCAGAGTCGTCTTCAGAATACGTGAACCAAAAGAGTTTAAGGACCTCGAGCTGAACTGCCACCAGAAGACAGGAGGAAAGCAGAGGAGTTCCCGGGTGACAGCAGGGTAAAGGCACACAGAAACTTAGAAAAACTCCTCAGCTCTGAGATCGCTATCCACCACGGAGCAAATGCTCCTCACTCCACTACTGCCCCAAAAGAGAAGTGCAGGTCTTATGTAGACACCTCTACCCAAAGCTTCCACCCCCGCTGGGCCTCTCGTGCCTCGGTTTCCCCATTCTTCCCATGAGTAGAAACGAATCATCTCATGCCTGCTCAAATCAGTGCCTCAAGATCCGTCCAGGCCCCCGTAGCCCGAGTTGACCCTTTTTGACCCCTTAGTGTGAACTGACCAAGCCTTACAAGGGTCTTCGCCGGCCCTCCCTCCCCCACTTCATTCTTATTCCTGCCGCACCTACACAGCCGCTCCCTGGCCTGGCTCTGAGCACTGAAGCGGACCCAGGCATCCATAACAGCTGCGGCCCAAGTTCCACAGCGCCACTCCCGCCCCGCTTCCCGCCCCTTGTCACGCCTCCCCGACGACTCAACGGTGCCTCGTGAGGGACAAATATCATTAGAAAAGGAAGCTAGTAGAGCTGGCCCCCCAAACGACTTTCAGAACGGAAAGCGTGCCTACATCTGCATGTTTTTGTCCGTGTCTACGTTTGAGCATCTTCTCATCAGAGGCTCCTATTTTCCTAAGCATGTCTCCAGCCATACTTCTGTATTATACATTCTGAACCAAGTGAGAGACTTGCAGGAGAGAGGTGTGGCGACTAGGGACACCATCCTCTGGTCCCCCCCCCCCCGCCCTGTCCCGCCCGGCGCCGTGGCGGGTCCAGTGGAACACCAACTCTGTTTCTGACTCTTTCTCTCTCCTACTACCTTTCCGTTTCCCTCTCAAGTTCAGGGGCCCAGGAACTAAATGTGTCTATAGAAGTAGAAGCCAGCTCCACGTTCCATTTTCCTGCAAGACCCAGACAAATGGACAGGTGATCTCCAGAATACCGATGGAGTATCTCCAGAGACAGACAAAATTCGCAATAACTAGCTCCACTGCAAAAGGAGAGCAAAGATCCAGTAACCGAAGTTCTGGTTCTTCAAACCCATACTTCATCCTCTCAACCCTTTCCCTTCTAAGTCACCGAGTCTGCAGGCAAGGCACCGGTTGAAAACAGCTATGTGAGAGGAGGCCTGGGGGCAGATCAGAAGTAGAGATGGAGTGCTCAGAGCTGCCCACATTCTCAGCTGCAGCCAAGGTCCCAGTGGGAGTGATCACTGTGCTGTTTTCTGCTGTTGGACATAACCTGGCCGTGCTGTGGTCAGTGACACACCCATAACCCAGCCAGCTCTGTCCCTCTCTGGATCAGACTATTCTATTTGTCCATTTAGCAGCTTTCGATTTACTGGTCACTTTTGTGGTTATGATACAGGGTGCAGCCTCTATTCAGTAACAGTTATACCCCTAGATGCCATCTGGGAAATCATTGTTCAATGGCTGGCCAGGAACATCATATGTGGGACACTCATGTTCCTGAAACTAATGGTCATTTATGTGGCAGCTTTCCTGCCTGTGAGCATTGATCTCCACTGCCAGGCAGCAGTACTCCACCTGGTTGGATCCCTGTCAACTGTAAGGAAACTGCTGAGGGCAGCCTGTGGACTGTTTTCTGCTTATCTTGTGCCAGGTGAGTGACTTTGTCTGGACTCAGGGTTAGACTGAACAAGAATTTGGGTACATACATGAGCCTTCAGAGACAATGGGTGTGGTTGGATCACTCCCACTCAAAGCCCTTTTAGGGAGGAGCATCTGTTTTTGGCATGTTAATTTGTATCTCTGTTAAAGAGCCTACCTCTTAAAAGGAGTACCCTTTTATCTACCCTCTTCCTTCAGCTTGGTTTTACTACACTTAGCTTTCCCCTCTTTGCATCCTCCTAATCCCACCTTGCTTCAGGACATGGTTGCAGAAAAATTGTAGGGCAGGGAGGAAACATATATGGGGGTGTATTAAGAAGACAGTGAAGCCAGGAGCTTTGATTAATCGATTCAAAAAAAGAAAAAAAAATACTGTGCATCATCCTCAGGTACACCCAAATGCTCTATCAAGGATACAGCAACAAAGTTCTGCCTTCAAGAAATGTATACACTAGTGCAGGATACAAATTAATACTATACACTTAAATGTTATGCTAGAGGTAAGTAAAAGGAGCAAAAGAACAATGAGGGGTGTCTGATCCACTCTTGGTCAGGGTAAGTTTCCCAGAGATATTAAAATTTGATTCCTGAAAGATAGATGTTAAATAAGTTAAAGTAGGAGGAATACTGGGGAGGCTGGAGGGCAGTGGATCTGAAAGTGGTTGCAGCTGAAATTGAGGGCTAGAAAATGGTAATGAACCACATTACAAATGTTTAGCTTGTACTTGACCCTCAGGGTAGTGGAGAGACACTAAAGTAAAAAGTGGATGACACAATCAGATTTGTGTATTTTACTTTAGTTTTATTGTGAAATGGGTGTCGAACTGGGGAGGGGAAGGGAGCATCTGAACTTGAGTACCAGGTAATCAAATGTCAATATGAAAATGAACTAGAATCTAGAAAGAAGATAAATATGAAGCAGTTTCTTCAAAATTGCATGTTAATTTGTATCTCTGTTAAAGAGCCTACCTCTTAAAAGCAGTACCCTTTTATCTACCCTCTTCCTTCAGCTTGGTTTTACTACACTTAGCTTTCCCCCCTTCCCTCTACCCTTGCTTCTGAGGGTAGAAGCAAGGTGGGATCAGGGGAGTGGCAGGGTGGGATAGGTAGGCCGCAGCATCTCTCAGACTAGGATTAGGAGAATATCTGGAGCTAAAATTTCCATCTCTCAAATGATAATGCATTGTAGAGTCAAAGATTTCACCCTTGAACCCACAAATATTAGACATCTAAAAACCAAAAGTGAACCTGACTGTAGTTCTAAGACTGTGTACAAGGTCTGTTCAGAAGGTAGCCAGCCATGTAATATGAAAAAGACATTTATTGAAGATACAAGGTACAGGAAACATTGTACATAGGACAATGATACCTCAGGCCCCTTCAAAGTAGGCACCTGGGGACAGCACAGTTCTCCAGTCACCATCAGCTACCCTGTTGTATTTTCCTGAATCTCACTGACAGTCTGAAATCTTTTCCCTTTCAAAGGTGACTTTAGTTTTGGGAAAAGCCAAAAGTCACAGGGAGCCAAATCTAGGCTAAGTGGGGCTTAGTTACCTGGGTGATTTGATGTTTCATCAAAAAATTCTGCCTGACCATCTGACCCTCCACTGTTGACTCAAAGCAGGCAGATAAAGTGGCGTGATTGAGAGAAAGAAAAAAAAAAAAAAAACCTCTGCATGAGACGTGATGCATGTGCGGGCATGTTTTGATGAAACTGCCAATCACCAGCTGCCCATAGCGACAGCCTTCTGAATAATCAAGTTTCTGTGGAAGAATGTTCAAGCTTAATGCAAAATTTGATGCAGATTTGTTATCTACTCACTCATTTTGAATACAGTAAACATGTTAACACAATGGCATCTCCTGCCCCCACTGACTAGTATAGTGAAGTTGTCATTGTTCATGTAAACACATTCCAGTCCACTCTCCTTGGCTGCCAGGTTACATCAGCTATCATGCAAACTGTTCTTGTTATATTAACAATAGCTGGACTTTTTCTTGACAGACTATATATATATATATATAAAACCTTCCAACAGTATATATTGCATACAGGACCTCTGCTACCCCAAGACTTAAAAAGCAGCTTGTTGCCTCTGTAAAAGTAATTACAGATGGGTTTGTTTATAAGAAGCAAATTTTAGGCATTGTTTGCTTATTTTACTTTGCTTTGTTTTTTCTGAGTCTAGGCTCTACCACTAACTAGTTATAGGTCTTCAGCTAAGTCATTTGAAATCCATGGGCCACAACATGACACAGATGAATTTCATTCTTTCTTAGAGCCTGACAACCTGATTAATAGTTGCAACCTCCATTTGCTTCAATGGCAAACTGGTGGTAACATTATGATACATGTGCAAAAGGTGCTTTTAGTTCTAAATTAGAGTCCTAATTGTGAAATTAGTGTTCCAAATTGTGTAATTCTGCACTGCCCATATGTTATGTTGTATTGAAAATATTAGTCAAAAAAATTTTTTAATGTGGTATTAGTGTGATGAAGGAGTACTGAGGTAGTTAGAAATTAGTTTGTAAACTCAAGTTTCAGAAATATCAGAAGTAGTGGAAAAGGTTTTTAGGTGGTAAATTGCATATAAAATAGGGAGAGGTAGAAGGCAGGCTATGGATCAAACCTAAGTCCAGGAGCCTGTCCTATTTTTAAACCCCTTCTTAGTGTGAAGTATTTCTAGGCACAGTGCAGAAAAAAAACACCATAAAATTCCCAAACACCAGAAATATAGGGACTCGAGGTAGGGGGAGAGGAAAGACCAATATCCAACTGGCTCAGTGTAGCCTGATCATAACTCCAACCATTTCATAAAACTGTATGTCTATGGCTGATACTAGCTGCATTTCCTAAAAGTCCCTTGTGCCTTCTGAAATCACTTTTCCAAATGCCTTATACCTAGCAATCTGACCTACAGAACTTGCCTTTTATCAAACAACAGTGACTCAATCTACTTGACCTGAAGTTACTAATTCTGAAGCTCAAACCTGAAAAATACTCTTTACTGATTCAAACCAAAAACTCAGCAATTTACCAAAAAGGGGAGGGGCAGCAAACAGCTTTTGGAAAATGTTAAATTTTATTACTTTTGTTTCACCATTATAGTTATTGTATTGTACCTAAGATTATTACTAAAGGTCACTTCAGGGGCTGCAAAATGCCCTAAAATTTTAGCAGCACCCATTTTACACAAGATTTTTTTCCCCCACAAAAATCACAGACACATCAGAAAAATCATTTCATCTAAAAATGTTGGTGAGGTGGAAGACATCCTTTTGTAAAGTGTAATGTGTAGCTTTACTTTCACTCATGTAGGATCTCAACATTTATACAAAACAGAAACTCTTCTGTCACTTCACCTGTTTGTGCTATATACCCTCTATCTCCATATCCCTACCTGATACACACATGGCTCAGTATGCTATAGGATCTTAATCTGTAGTGTGTTTTAGAATCAGAGAGCCCTGTTAAATAGTGGCTATATGGTCTTGGATAAATTAATCTCTCTAGACCTTACATGTTCCATTCATTCATCTAACGAGTATTTATCACCAGATGCAGTGGTGATAAATACAGATATTCAGCCCCTATCTTCATGGAGTTCAAAACCCACTTTACAGACTAGGTGTGAGGATTAATAGTGAAATAAAGCAGGACAGTACAATAGAGAGCTGGCTTTGGAGGCAAACCTTGGTTCTAAATTCTGCTTTGGCCACTGTGACTGAATTTTTAGCTTGTTCACTTTCTGTAAAGTGCAGTGTTTAGAATAGTACTTGAAAAAACAGGATTAAGTCACAGGATTTAACTAACTTAATGGTTAGTTCCAGAGCCTAAATGGAATATAGGGATTTTCAAGATACATTTCTAACCTTTTTAATATTAGCACCATGGGAGAACCATTAATTCAGCACTGCATTGTTTTTCATAGATTCAAGGATGAGTTTGGGAAGAGATAGTGTCACACTGGTGGGTAGGTTGGGATGAGGTTAAAGACCAGTTTTAATAGTCCTCAACCCCACTCCAGTGGTTCATCAAGCTGGCCCAGACCCCTTCTCTCAAGCTGTCACTAAAGGCAGCTTCAAGGATCAACAGCAAGAGACCTCTTTGCTTTCTGCTGCCCATTCTGACTTTGGTGCTGACTGCCATGACCATCTGCTACAGCCACAAGTATGTTTTCAGTGTGTCTAGTCCCCTGACAATGAGGGTGAGTCTTCAATCCCCAGGACCTAATCCATACCCTAAAACTACTGCCTCTAGCCTAATTATTTATGATAGCTACCTATCAAACCAAAACATCCTAACTGAATTTCTAGTACCTCGTACTACAGTTTTCTTGAATGCCTTCAATTCTAACCAACCTCTAGCCATTGTTTGAACTTAATTAGCTGGGCAAGGATTAAGGAGAAAGGTGATCAGTCTTCTCTTTTACTCTTGGGACACCATGAAGTCTTAAAGTAGACTCAGTAGCTTCATATAATAGCACCTCAATTATACCTTTTTACTCCATCATGTCTGTCATAATCCCTAGGAAGAAGGGAACATATAGTCCCAAGATGATAAGGAGAGGTAAGTTTGCAGAATTGTCTTGCTTGTAGGAGTTCCACGTCACTGCCCACCTATCAATTTACCCTATACTCAGGTCAAGAGATGAATGATTCTAGATTTCAGTGTATTTTTTTAAAAGTCCCAGCTCCTGCCAGTGAATTTGTCCTCTGTTGTCCTTAGACAATTGCCCCCATGTTTGTCTTGCTGACCTCCATCCTCTTCTAGACAGCTGGAGGTATAAATGTGGCAGCAAGGACAGGAGAAACAGAAGAAACATTCCTGTTAACATTCACTTTCTCAGGATAGAGTATATGTAGGATAAAGAGAATAATTCTTTAATATCCTGATAACATCTCACTTCTACCCTCGCTCTCTTAGCTTCCAAGAGAAATACCATGCAGTGTTTCTACTTTGACCCCTCGAGACTATGTCTAATGTAGAAACTCACACAGAATTCAGTTAACAGAAGTATATTTACAGTGACTCATACTGCCCTACTGTAAATAGTACTTCAGAGCTTGCAATGTTAGAGCAGAAAAGGAATTTTAAATGTAGAAAACAATGGGGCATTTATTCATAACTCAAAAAAAAAACAAACCCCACTAAGTGATGGGGTAAGAGATTAATTATAAACAATGAGTACTACCCAGCCCTATTTCTCCATGGCTGCATGGTCAACTGGAATCTCTGGAGAGAACACCTGGACAACAGAGGACCTGTCAGCGGCGCCTCCGCTCTGGACTCCTGCTGCGTCTTCGGCCACCTCTAGGGAAAAGGAAAGGGGAGAGAGGTTCATAAAAACCTAATACAATGTTCTTTTTCTGTTTTTATTATATTCCCTTCACCAAGATTGTGTTTGCCCACTCCACTTTACCTCCTTTTGCCCTTGGGTGGACCTCGAACAAAACACCAGTCCACACTGATCGGCTGTCCCATCAAATCTTGGCCATTGAGTCCCTCCATAGCAGCCTGGGCCTCCTTGTATGTTTCATACTCAACTAGGGTATACCCCTAGGGCAAATGAAAACACAGATATCAAAACCCTCCTACTCCACAAAGCTGTTTTCTACTTAAACAGGAAAATCTATCAACTTTAAACAATGAATGTACATCATATATCCCTGCTATATATACATGTTTGTGTCTGTCTCTGCTGTGTCTAACAAAATCATTTCCCATGTTATTTTACTTCAACATATCTCTTGGCCAACTATTGCAAATGTGGGAGACCTATCAAGGTTATGGGGGAAAAGAGGCAATGGAATATAACTTAGGATACCTTCAGGTATCCTGTACGCCTGTCCAAGTTGAGGTGGATGTTTTTTATTTCCCCATACTCTGCAAATTTGTCGTGGATGTCTTCTTCTGTGGCTTCCTCATGGACTCCAGTGACAAAGAGAATCCAGCCTTCAACAGCTATTGAGGAAGGGAGGGAGGTTTGAATACGTGAGAAAAAAAAACTTGGAAGCAAGATCACACAGGAGTAGAGTGACTGCGGATACCAGAGATTGGTAAAGTTATCTCTAACCCCTTCCTTACTGGGCTTTATTTTAGTGGTCTCTAATTCTCTACAGATACAGATACCTTACAGGCTCCATTTTACTTACAGCGTTGCGGTCCAGGTTCATCTCCATCCTGCTCCACGCTGTCATAATCCTCACGCATCCGTGCTCGAGACCCCTCTTCTAGGAAACAAACAAGAGATCATGGAAATCCCCATTTCCACACTGTTCCCCATGAATCTGAACGGGGACTCCAAAACCTGTAGTTCCAGTCGATTCAGACCCTGTTTTCCCCACACTCACCGGAGCCAAAGCCGCGGCCCTTCCGTTTCTTTGCTTTTTCTTTCAGTTTGTGGATGCTCTCTGTAACCCCATAAGCAAAAGGATAAGTAATAAAGATAACAGTTAAAACAAAAGTTTCTTTCCCAAGACATTACCTGACAGCGGACCCCACCACCTCTAGTCCCAGTCCCTTACTGTCCCGCCTACCTGCCTCCGAATGGGGGCGGAATCTTCATTCCAACCGTAACCCGCTTCCCCGGCTCCCATCCTCACTGCCACTAGGGGAAATTATGTTTCCCTATTACGCCCTTCTCTCGCACCTTCCATGCCTCCCGCAGCTGCCTCCACTGTCCTCACCATCCCCATCTTCGTCCATGGCGAAATCCTCGCCCCCAGCCTCATGAAGATCCAGCACGTCCGCCATCTTGCCCTCGACGAGAGTCTCCTAGGCGCCGCTCAGCAACTAAGCCCCAGGACGACCAGTCGCAGGCTTACTTTAAGTCCCGCCCTCGGCGCGGAGAAATATACGCACATGGAGGCGGGTTTAGTCCGGGAAGAGTCGGAAATGTTCCTGTCGCCATCTTAAGCAAGTTGTGGGCTGCAAGCATCCGCTCCGTGAGGGATACGGTAGGGCTGGCTAGGCGGAGTCATTGGTTCCTTTTTATTTAGGAGAAATACTACTGCTTTTTTATCCGAGGAGAAATACTACTGACGGGGTGTACTAGCCTGATCTCTTCAGTAAAGGGTTCTCTTTTCACCACGTACTAGGAACTAGAAGTTCAAGAGAGTTTTTTTCTTTCAAAACTTCCAGGCCTGTACCCTGTTCCGAGGAATAGCCAGATTTATGATGTAAACATTAAAAAAAAAAGTTCTGTTAGCAGTGCTGGTTCAAAAAGCGGATTCTGGAACATGCTGAAGTACCGAATTTCACATTTATAAAAACTAACAGACCTGGTTGTCGTGTGAAATTATTTTGGTGACAGACACCACCTTAAAAAAAATGTTTTCTAATATAAAATCTGCCCACCACCTCTGGGAATTTTTAAAAAGGTCATGGCTTAAAAAAAAAAAATAGGGCTTTTAACCCTCGCTGGTGCACCTCAGTGGATTGAGTGCTGGCCTGCAAACAAGGGTTCCTGTTTTGTTTTGTGTTGTTTTTATTTTTAAATATTTATTTATTTTTAGAGAGGAAGGGAGGGAGAAAGAGAAGGAGAGAAACATCAATGTGTGGTTGCCTCTCATGTGGCCCCCACTGGGGGACTTGACCTGCAGCCCAGGCATGTGCCCTAACTGGGAATCAACCAGCGACCCTTTGGTTCGATCCACTGAGCTACACCAGCCAGGGCCAAGGGTTCTGTTTTGATACACGAAGGACAGGTACTTGAGTTGCTGGCCAGGTCCCCGGTAGGGGGCGCTGGAGTGGCAACTGCACATTGATATTTCTCTTCCCCTCTCCGAAAAAAAATAAAATCTTTTAAAAATAGGAGTTTTAGCTTCTTGGAGGATGGTGTGAGCTTATAAAATTTCACATTTAAAAACCTAGGAGTTGAGGCAAAACCAATATTGCCCCAAATTCTGGAATCCCGATGTAGGCCTTAAACAATAGCAGACTGCAGATTCACATTAACTTTTTAATGAAACAATTCTCAGTGTTTATATGTATCTTATACTAGAGGAGTATGCTGGCAATACAAGCCTAAATCATTGTATTATCAACAATCACTTTATATGTGAAAGTGGTAATTCTATTGCAAAGTAGTATGATGGTACAAAGCAAGTTTTTCATAGGTATGGGTGTATGAGAAGCCATGTAAGGGGCTTCTGTTTAACTGGGCTTTTAAGACTGGGTAGTTTTCTAGGCAAAGCAGTTGTGACTGACTCAGTGTGACTTTCACCACACTGAGTGCTGCAATCTCTTTAACAAATTAATTTAAAAAATCAATTAGTCACCTTGCTTTCTTTGAGTAAAATTTAAATTCACACAGCCTGCCCTACATTATGTATACAACCTCTTCCACTTTTCTCTCTCACTGATTAAGCTCAAGCTCTCCTTGCACTTTTCCTCCACTATGTTGTAATGTATGTACTGTTCCCCATCAGGACTCGTGCACCTTTGCGCTGATACTCTTACTCCAGCTCTTCACATGACTAGTTCAACTCCATACTTTAGGTCTCCCTAAAATACTACTGTCACCCAAAAGGTGACAGTACCCTCCTATTCTTCACTCTGTTTATTCCTTCACAAAACTTAAATCTGAACCTTTAGTCAGTTTATTTACTTCCTAATGTGTTTAATGTCTGTTTTCCCCATTGTGATGTCATCATTAATGGCAAAAACTCGTTATTTATAGCTATATCTGCAAAGTTTAGACTAGTGTCTGCCTCACAGTAGACATCTGGTATATACTTATTGACTGGTTGAATATCAGAATGATAAGAAATTCTGTATGCCTGATGCTGTGTGACTTAGGAAATAAAGCTAGAAATACAGTTTAGGGCCAAATTGTATATCACGCTGAAGATTTTAGAACTTATCCTGTAGGCAGGAACTTTCTCTACATCAAGTATTTAAGTACTCATGATTTTTAATATTTGCAAATAGCCCCCATACTATTTTTATTAGTATTTTTCTTAATAGGCTGACTTTTTAAACAAATATACATTAAATTTATGATCCCTGCCGTAATATAAAACCTGTATTATTGCACTCAAATGCAGATTAAAAATATCATGAGTAAAAATATTTACTCATGATAAATATTTACTCATGAAAAATATTTCCCTGGCTGGTGTGGCTCAGTGGATTGAGTGCTGGCCTGCAAATTTAAAGGGTCACAGGTTCTACTCCCAGATCAGGTCACATGCCTGGGTTGCAGGCCAGGTCCCCATTAGCGGGCATGTGAGAGGCAACCACACATTCATGTTTCCTTCTCCCTTTCTCTTTCCCTTCCCCTATGTCTAAAAAGAAATAAAACATTAAAAAAATTGAAAAATGTTTGCCAGTCTACCATCCAAAATCATCATAGCTACTACCAAGGGTTCACATATAAAACTTGGGGAAGTCCTGCTAAAGGTGATGATAGCTAAGTGATGGTTTCAAGCAAGGGAGCTGTACAGTCATTTAAGTATTTTAGAAAGAAACATGACAGTAGTGTGGAGGATATCAAGAATGAAGACAGGAAGCTATTGCAGTGGTCCAGCCCAGAGATGAAACAGATTGAACTAAGGCAGTAAATATTGACGAAATAGATTAGGAAGTTTATATAGGAGGTAAACTCTATAGTAAGTGACTGATTAGATGATGGTAGGAAAGAGGTAAGGATGGATTTCAAGTTCTAACTTAGATACATGGGTAGATGATAATTCCAGTAACAGATCTGCAGCATCAAACAGGAGCATGTATGGTGAAATGGATTTTATTTTGGATATGTGAGTTGAAAGAACTTGTGTCAGATTCAGGTGGTAATGTCAGGTGGAAATACAGATGCAAAAGGGTAGAATAAATAGATTCAAGAATCACGGGTATGATAGAGTTTAGACCACCATAGTGGGTGAGGTTACAAGTGGAACTAGGTAGAACTTGAGGAGAAAGAACTAAGGACAAATTCCAGTCTTCTCAGATGTCTGGAGAAAGTGAGGCAGAATACTTTTCCTCAGCAGTCCAATCTTATCTCTACCACCCAAAAATACTAATAAAAATTTTTAGTATATTTATAAAAGAAAGGGTCATTTTATAGCTCCCCTGATACAAAAGTCTCAAAGAGTCAATCTGGCACATTATACAAAAATCTATTTTTAATTGTATAAAATTATACAGATAAAATACATAGAAAGTACTAAACAGATAAGTAAAATCTTTAACACTGAAAGCGGACAGATCAGGGAACAATTTTTCTCAAGTTCTTTGGGATCTTGCTTGTTGGTATTTGAGAAAAATAGTAAATCCAGGAGGTGCAAAGACAAGTTCTTCCCACAATTCACACCACTTAACACTTTGTAGAAAAAGGAGCATAAGAAAAATGAGGATTTATGATTTATGAATTATAAATATCAATAACTGAATAGACACCTATTGTTTATTGTAAGAGCCTCTGCTCCAACCCTACATGTATGTCATGGAATACAGAGAAAGGGCTTGGAGAATTCAAGGAAGTCCCTTTCAAGCATAGATACATTTGTTGCTTGATTGCTTAACTTTTAATCCCATATGTACTGGTCACTAAAAATGATTTTAAAAGAAAGAAAGATGACTTTCAACTTGCCCCTGTCTGATCCAAAAGAAAATTGTGGCCTTTTTCCTAACTTATTTCTGAAAGCAAAGTGTATAACTGATAAATGGAAAGTCTAATTTTAGAAACATTAAACTTCTCAAGCTCAATTTAAAGAGCACTGAACTATAATATTGTGTAAAGGAAACTACAGAAACAAGGGGAAAACATATCTTAGACCTACAAAAAATTCTCCCAAAGGTGAATGCTTTACCTGTACTCTATATAATTTCTCTTCTGTTCCACCCAGGAGAGAGGTAGGAGAAGAGAACAATATTAAAAATACAAATAGCTAGTCATTGATTATTTTTCCCTTCCTGCAAGTTTCCCAGGGTTCCAATTAGGAAGTGCCATAATGCCCAAGTCTCATCTAATTTACCTGATCAATGTGGAGAAAGAGGAGAGAAAACAAATGTGAATCTAAGGTACGTACATCTAGGTAGTAGATGGCAACAAATTTGTGGCAGTGAGAGGAATGTGGCCCTCACCAAATAGGACAACTTTTCCAAAGAGCAAAATGATGGGAGGAGAGAGAAGAGAAAATATCTTTTACTTTACCTGCAGATAGGACAGTCTAAATACAGGGCTTAACTAAGGGGAGCAGGAGTGAAAGGGAAATATTAAAAGATAAACAACTTCAACCCTGACCCCTTCTGTAGTGTAGAGTACATCCTGAAATCTGGACTATGGTATGGTATCTGTGCCCCAGAAGCAATATAGGTGATAAAGCTTTGTGAATTTTGTTTATAATTCCCTTCTTGTTTCTGGCCACTTTCTTAGGAATGACCTCAAAAATGAGAAACCAGATAGATCTTCACTTCCTACCCAGTACTAATTGGAGTACTAGGCGGAAGTAAGGGAGTGGTGAGGAGGGGTGATGTAGGTTAGGAAATATCATTACTGGAGGAACAACTTGTACCAAGTAGGCCCATCTCAAGATAAACCAAAGTTGAAGGTTTAGTATTTATAACCTGTTTGAGTATAAGAGAAAGCAGGAATTAGGGTTAGGGGAAGAACGCAATCCTTACTGAAGCTTCCTGTTATTTTAAAAGATAGGAGACATGAACATGTAATCATCTTGCGCTGCTGAAATGACTGTACAGAGTTATTGCAAATGTAAAAGCCAAAAAAGCTCCAAAGACAGCCTGTTCTTGTAAAGTGGAATGGAGATGTTTCAAAGGAAACTACGTCCAGAAACTAGAAGAAAAGGGACCTCTTAGCAAAAAAGAATCCAGGTGTAGAATTTATACATATATACCTATATTTTAAAGTATAAAATTGAAAAAGTATGTACAGGAATCATACTAAGTCTTAGAGAGAACATATAAAATGAGGCCTGGAGAGGATGGGAAACACATGAGTGGATACCTAACAGTTGGAAGAATGTATATTGCCCAGCTGTCCAGCAGCCAGCATGAGAATATCTTTCTTCTCTTTGTGGAAGCGCAGCTCCTTGCCTGCCAGCCGGGCTTCATCCAGCTCCCGCTCAGTAGAGGTCAGCTCTCTAGACAGTGCTCCTGGCACACTCTGCTCCCGGCTCACCCAGTCCAATGCCATTTGGTGGCGAATGTCATCATCCAGGGCCCGGTGTGAATAGTGAGCCAACACTTCCTAGAGGAGGAGAGGAATGTGAAGGTCACTGACAAGGTAAAGGTTCATACCATGTTGACCCAACTGGAACTAGGAGCTCTTAGCCTCAGAGTCCTAACTGAAGTTAGCACTTTAAGTCTTCTAAGGAGATTCTTTTTAGTTTTTAAGATTTATTTATTTTCAGAGAGGAAGGGAGGGAAAAAAACACCAATGTGTGGTTGCCTCTCGTGTGTCCCCTACCAGGGACCTTGCCTGCAACCCAGGTATGTGCCCTAACTGGGAATTGAACCAGCGACCCTTTGCTTCACAGGTCAGCACTCAGTCCACTGAGCCACACCAGCCAGGGGTCTACAAAGATTCTTAAGGAAAACTTGCTGGTAGGGAAAGCAAGGCAGGCAAAAGAATCACAGGTAAGATTTAAATAGAAAAGGTAGTAGGAGTGAAGAAGGCACTTTAAGTAAGGCTTTCAATACTCACAAGCTGGTGTCCATAAGCCTGATTATTTCCAATACAACAGTCATATCAAAATAGTTCCTGTGCCAGACTCCCCTCACCCATAGGATCTCTTACCTGCCGAGAGCACTGTCTTTCCCTCATGGCCTTAAGGCTGCCATTCCAGTGCAACAGTTGAAAGACTGTCATTAGCTCCTAGGGGAAGAAAATATGAAGTGCCAGGACAGTGATTTTGTTTTGGGAGGTTACATCAGAATTACATGGGTAACCTTTTCCAACATGTGTTTTGGAAGCATCTTTTATACCAACTCTGATACCCTTGGGAATAGGAAGGTATATATTGACAAATATTCTAACCACCTGCACTTACTTCCTTTCCAGATGAGTACCAATCTGTTAAGGATTAGTAGGAGGCACTTTCACACACAGCCTGACCCATGTTATTAGAGCCAGGGAAGTAAATGGGACAGTACCTGGAACTCCAACATTGACTTGCCCTTGTTGGATTCCAACATGAACCGGAAGGCACCAATCCCTGTATTTGGGTTGTCAGCTTCCTCCTTATTGCCCTGGTAACAAGAATACATAAAGATTTTCAATCAGAATTATCACCTCAAGCAGCACTGTCCAATAGAAATGTAATTAATATATAGCATATTAACTTCAGTAACATTATTTAACCTGATATATGCAAAATATTCCAACTGTTAATGGTATAAATTATTAATGAAATATTTTTCTTGTACTAAGTTTTCAAATGTGGTATCTCATGCTTACAGCACATCTCAGTTTACAGTAGCCACATTTCAAGTGCTCAGTAACTATATGTGGTTTGTGGCTATTCTGCTGGTCACCATACACTTAGAGGACTACAAAGTTATCCCACATTTTAACTCAGGTGACAGAGAAAGGTGAATCTGATTTTCCCTATTTTTATAAGGGAGAACACTGAGATATAGAGAAGAGTCCTGAATTAGCCAAAATAACAGAGCGAGTTCAGCATGTGGGATTGGACTAGACTAGAGGACAGTTGGGCAAATGCATCTTAAAGGGAGACAAGAAAGAGCCATAAGCATGGCAAATTCTGGGTAGCAGTTTGGCATCCTGAACATTTGCCCCATGTGAATTCTATTGGTGATATGAGCCTGCAGGGCTAGAATTAAGATACATTGTCTGATCTGCAAGCATAGTATGTACAAAAAGACAATACAATATAGATGTTAAGAGTGTGGATTTAATAGTCTTGTGGCCTTGGTGAAGTCATTTAACCTTCTTTTCCTCAGTTTCCTCATCTGTAAAATGGAAATAATCATAGATCTACCTTATAGGACTGTTTTGAAAATTAAATAAGTTAAATTGTTTTTAATTTTAAAAAGTAATAAATATTGTTTAAAACTCTGATATAAAATGTGGGTACATAAATTTACTGGACCTAGTGTTCAATTACACAGACTAAATCCACACTGGTATTGGTTGTTGTTTGGTGCTATTTGGTGGTAATTTAATATTATTAGGATGATTCCAGGTCCTAGGGCTGACTGGGACTTCAAAATAAGGGTATTGGTGTTAACTGATAAGGGTATTGGGTTTATTGGTGACCCTTTTGTCAAACTGATCTAGGAAATAGTGGCAGGAAACTACTGGGAACACAGGGACCTAAATCTCTCCCTCCTGCTTCCTAAGAAGTTGCCTGCTTTTTCTAGCCGGTTCCACACCACACACCCCCACCTCCCAGGATAAGAACTTTTATTCTGCTCTCTTTGAGAAAGGGAGTTGAGTAGAGTTCAGGAGCAATCAAGTTATACCCAAAATTCAGTTAATTGTGGGGTACTTTATCATGGGGTTTTACTGTATATGTATCACACCTAAATTAAATGCCACTTAGTAAAACCACCGTAAGTGCTAAGAAATTATTGTTATTTATTTTCATTGTAATAGAATCAGCAAGAAGTCTTCTGACTTATTCAAGATTAACCTATATTGTTTTGTGGCTCATGAGAAACAACCATGCCTCATGTGGTGGTGAAGCAAAGATCACAAATTTGGATTTATGAGTGAAAAGCTAAAGGGAAGAAGGAAAAAAGATAATCTTCACTATTAGGATTTATAGCTCTGAGGTAAGCAATGATTTTTCCTTTTGCCTATAATTGTTCAATATGATACCTTATTCAGTACTTTTAAAATTTCCATGATATGGCATCTAATAGTAATGGTCATATCTGTACAACTAACTAGGATATACAGAGGAGGCTGTTGGCAGAGCAGCCTGCCAGCAGAGGCTGTGGGGCACAAGGAGTCCATCTGTTCCAGGCCTTGCTTAGTCCCCTAATAGCTGAGGGGATCAATATCAGGGCACATCTGTAACCTATCTGGAGTACACCAGAGTGGCATGACCCACCAGTTGGGAAGTTCTAACTCATATGACATTTATACACTTAACATGATTACAAATGAACTCCATTTATTCAATAAATATTTAATCACAAATTACTTGATTAGGGGTAGGAACATTAGAATATAATTGGAAAGGAATTAGAGTTAATTTAATTCAACCTACTTATTTTACAGCGAGGAAACCCAGACCCACAGAGGCTAAGTGCTTTGTCGAAAGACAGTATAATCTACCATTAGATTCAGGAATTTTAAAGGAAAAAAAAGAGGCAGAAAACAAAGAATGTGGTCATCACTCTCCCCCCCCCCCCCCCCCCCCCCCCCGGCTAAGACCAAATGGAAATTGTTATTCTGAAAAATGAACACTCTATTGTGATATTAATGAGAAATCCATTAAGTTCTCCATTTGAGGGGTTAATCAAAGAGAAATAGTGGCAAGATAATAATTGTTCACACATCTTTACTTTCACTTTATAGTTGTCGGCCATCTAACCAAGGTGTTTCCTTCTTCCCTACTATAGAATCTTAATCTTGTTCTAGCATCTGCTTATCTCATATGTGCCTCAGAGAAGAACTTGTAAATCCTAATCCCTTTAGCCTGTAATTTCTGTTTGTTTTGTTCTTGTAATTGGTTTTAAGGTGGGAATTCTGGCCTTTGGGAGGTAGAAAGGAGGTGTGTGTTGGAGGGCTTCTGGGAAAACATTCTTTACTATTAAAAAGACACTAAAAGCCCTGGCTGGTGTAGCTCAGTGGATTGAGCACGGGCCTGTGAACCAGAGGATCTCGGTTTGATTCCCAGTCAGGGCACATGCCTGGGTTGCAGGCAGGTTCCCCGCAGGACAGTTCCCTGCAGGGGGTGCACTAGAGGCAACCATACATTGATGTTTCTCTCCCTCTCTCCTTCCCCTCTAAAGATAAATAAAATCTCTTAAAAATTATTTTTAAAAAAAGACACTAAAAAAGATGGTCTCTTTCTGTCTCTGAGTGGGCTTATGTCTGAATGTATGGGATTCTGTAGCCATCTTGAACTCTAAGGGAAGTCAGTCCAAGGGCAAAGTCAATGTTTTGGCATCTCTGTGCCACACTGGTAGAAGAATTGTTGTCTTGGGCTGCACATTAAATACACTGTGACACATAATCACAAAAAATTTCATAATGTTTTAAGTAAATTTACAATTTTATGTTGGGCTGCATTCACAACCATCCTGGGTTGCATGTGGCCTGCGGGTCACAGGTTGGACACCCCTGAAAAGGATGGCTGAATAGAAGATGGAAACAATTTGGGCCAGATTATATTCTTGACCCACAGAATCAACCAGCCCTGAAATCTGCCCTACTTCTGGACTTCTTGTCATATTAGATAATAAATTTTCTTCCTTTACTTAATTCTATAAGTCAATTTGAAATGATATTTTCTATTACTTGCATCTAAAGGCATCTAAATAGATAACATGTGCTAAGTGCTTGAATATATTCTCTTTTATCCAGTAATCCCATGTGATAGGTATATGAGGAAACAGACTAAGTTATTTGCTCAAAGTCATATAGCTAGTGAAATCATAATTTCAAAACAAGAATCAGAGCACAAGCTCATAATCACTGCTTTCTATAATCCAAACTAATGTTTTGTTTTATAATACATTAGATAACAAGAGTGACAAATGTACTTTCTTAATTTTACTTGGCTTTGATTAATATAAAAATGTTTTTATTCCCTGCAGATACTGCCAAAGGGGGCAAAGAGTAATGAGAGAAAAGCAGATGGATCCCAGGTAACAGAGGGAAGCCAACTTATGATTTTAAGTGTTCAACCCTAAAATACTGAACAGATCATTAAGGCAGTTTATTTTATTTTTTAATTTTTATTTATTGATTTGAAAGAGAGAAATACCTGATTTGTTTTTCTGCTTGTTTAAGCATTCATTGATCGACTCTTGTCTGTGTCCTGACTAGGGATTGAATCCACAAACTTGGCATAACAGGAGGATGCTTTAACCAAAAGAGCTACCCAGCCAGGTCCCTGAAATAGTTTAGTATATGTAATTACATTTTAACTGCAAAAAGGATAGAAACAGAAAATTGTTCTGATTTTATCACTCTGTCAGTGAACTTGTGGGAGGGAGGAAGAAGGCAGTGTTAACTTCTAAAATGTACCCTAAGGTAGAAAAGTGTCTAAGTTGGCTTGAGTTCCAGTCTTGGCTCTACAACTTACTAGCTCTATCACTTTAGGCAAAACTTCACTTTTTTGTTTTTAGTTTGTTTCCTTATCTGTAAAACAGGGGTATAATAGTACTTATACTTCATAGGATTGTCATTAAAATCAAATAAGATATAGTACATATAAATACCTAGGATTAGGTATTTAATTCTAATAAGTAATTAGAATTAGCTGTGGTTATTCTCGTCATCATTATCATTTGAAAGAACAAATGTTCTTTTTTTTTTTAAAGACTGAATTTATTATTTTTTAAAGATTTTATTGATTTATCTTTAGAGGGGAAAGGAAGGAGAGAGGGAGAGAAACATCAATGTGTGGTTGCCTCTCATGTGTCCCCTGCTGGGAACCGGCCCGCAACCCAGGCATGTGCCCTGACTGGGAATTGAACCATGATCCTCTGGTTCACAGGCCCGCACTCAATCCACTGAGCTACACCAGCCAGGGCACAAATGTTCTTTTTAAAGAGAGTAAATAAATTATCCTCCCCATTCCTAGAAAGGAAAAAAGCCAAGACACTGTATTACCAAGTATTCTTTATTAATAGGATACAGTCATGGAGGCAGGAGATAAGTGACAATAAAAACAGTTTATATATATATATATATATATATATATATATATATATATTTATATATATATATATATAAAATAATAGTGAAGGAAGAAGGGACTAAGGTCTAAACCCCAAATTGGGAAATACATAATTCAAGCTTAATTTTTGCTTTGAAATATCTCTAAAATTCCATAAATTTTGAATCAAAGATTTTTAGATACCAGAGAGATACAAGGATTTCTAAATACCAAAGAAACAAAATAGCAACAAAAACATAAACACATGAATAGAATTAGAGACTGAGACTTATGGAGCCTGTAATACAAAAGATTGACAGAGGAAAAAACAGAAGAGATGTAAACAGAAAATAAGAGTTCATGCCCTGTTTCCCAGTAATATACAAGACTTCCCAGCCAGCCAAGTTGTTCCATCTCCCACTCTCCTTCCTTCCAACTCCAAGTAACTTACATTGAAAGATGCCAGGGCCTCAGAGACACTCTTCTCAATGAACTCATCAGTGATTCTTCGGGAAGGATGTTCATTAAACACAGAGTTCATTAGTGCAATCTTTGCAGCACTCCTCCGGGCCTCAGCTTTTGTGGGGCAAAACTAGGCAGGGTAGAGAGAGAGAAAATGTATGTATGTGTGTCTGAGAGACAGAAGGAACAATGGAGGAAAATGCTTGGGATAGAAGACTCAGACACTCTAGATAAATCAGTTTGTTCAACACTTCCTGCAAAGTTTTTATTGTAAAATGGTGGAGGTATTTGGAAACATAATTTTGATTCAACATTCTGAAGTCATTAAAGAACTGGAGATGGCTCTACCTCATATCAAATAGAATGTGGAATGCAAAAGGCTGCTTAAGTCAGCATATAATCACTGGATATGAAAAGTATCCCTGTTTAAACTGTCAACAGAATTAATTATTCAAAAACCAGCCTATTAGAATCTTATCTTGTTCTCTGGACAGGCAAGATTTTTTTTTTCATCCTTTTAGATAACCTAAGATTAAAACAAAGCTGTCTCTAGACTGCTTCTGCAGAGGAGACCTCTAGTCTCTATCCGAAGCACTCCTCTGGGATTCTTGACCTTCACTTTTATCTGTGAGCAGGCAGTTCCCCCAAGGAGTTATCCTCGAACATAGTCTAAAGTCTGAAGAAGGAATTTGTAGTCTTCTGTTTCCCCAGTGGAAGCAAGGAGAAGAGGGGTGGCTAGGGGAAGGAAAGCTGCTGACCTGAGGAAAACAAGAAAAAATTTAAAAATTCATGTTTTTACATTATATCTAACATAGGTATCATAGAACAGTCTGATTTTCAGAAGATTTATTTATTTATTTATTTTCAAGATTTTACTTATTTTTAGAGAGGAGGGAAGGGATGGACTAAGGAAGAGAAACATCAATGTGTGGTTGCCTCTCACATGGCCCCCACTGGGGACCCAGTCCGACAACCCAGGCATGTGCCCTGACTGAGAATCGAACCGGTGACCCTTTGGTTCACAGCCCACGCTCAACCCACTGAGTACACCAGCCAGGGCTAGAAGTTTTAAATCATTCAACTTCAGACCCCTGGGCACCATAGCATTCCTTTACAAATTCATCTTCACTAGCTGCTTCAAAGATCCCTATGCCCTTGTCATTTATGAATATGATTAGAAGAAAGGAAGAAAGTGATCTTACACAATTTTAAAAAGTAGACCAGGATATGTTTGCTACTTAACCATCCTTAACTATTAATTTCCTAATTTCTAATTCCTAAATTCCTAGTTTCCTTTAGCTGACAGGTCTCTCTCAGAGCATATGGAGCTTCATACATTAGCCCTAAGTCTTCTTGCTTCTTCAATTTATTTATCTACTCCTTATTTGCTAGCCTGCTGCCCATTTTACTGTCTAGTGCCTTTTCTGAGAAGTTATCAATGAAGAAAAGCAGTGGAAGAAATATCAGCTGCCAAAGTGGATATAAAACAGATAAGCTAAAAGGGGCCATAATAGATAGTTCTACTCGTTCAAAAAATAAGAGAAATCAAATTACTCTAATGGTCGAGCTTTGGTCATCACCATAAAATAATCAAATCCTTATTCAGAAATTTAATGAGGTGGGAGAAGGGAAGAGAGGATCTTATTCTGAGAGGATCTTATTCTGTAGAGCATAAACATTAATCATCCTAATAAATGAACATATTTATTTCTCTGAAATAGCTAGCGGTTCTGAGGGATAATATTTAGTCATCTGATTTTAATTTTTCTTTTAGTCTCACCCAAGGAAATACGTAAAGGAGAAGGGAGGGAGAGAGAGGAGAGAAACATTGATGTGAGCCCTGACCAGTACCCATAACCCAGGCATGTGCCCTGACCAGGAATCAAACCCATGACTTGTCAGTTACAGGACAACACTCCAACTGACCAAGGCACACTGACCAGGGCAGTCATCTGAGTTTAAATGAAGCTTCCTGAGGACTGTTTTTGCTTGAGACAGGAACTGAATTGCAGTGGCACTCATTCATGCAACAGATTTATTAAGTGACTACTCTGTGCTAGGTACTGAGTTTGGTGGTAGAGATTTAAAACTGAACAAGAGAGAAGACACACACCATCTCTACCTCCATGGAGTGTTATCCACTAGGAGATGTAAACAATAATGATATGTCATGATAAGTGATATGATAGAAGTTTAAGGTGTTATGGAAGCACATAGCAGTGGTTATGCTTTGTCTAAGGGTTGAACAAACCATATGGGAAACAGAACAAAAGTATCTCTTCTCTTTCCTAAATTGCTATATAGACTCTAAATTAACATTTCAGAGGGCTACCTTCCTGTCTGCAATGCAAAGAATCCATCTTTGATGATAATATTCACACTAGTCAAATTTCTCATTACCCTATAATAGCAACCATACTTTTCATCATCATATGTTACAAGTTTTTAGTATAATTGTAGAAAGCTAGTCCTAGAAAGACTTTAGAGATAATGTAACTTATCTCTTTCATATTATCGATGGGGAAACTGAGGCCCAGAGAAGTTACCTGACTTGTCCTGCTGGCAGTCAAGGGCATGAAAAGTTGAATCTCCTAACTCTTAGATAAGTAGTATTTCCATCATAGTCCCTTTTGATGCTTTTACTAAGGCTTTCCTTAGTAAATGCCAATGAAAGCATACTTGAAACAAAGAATAGTATTCTATGTTCTCAAAAAGAGGTAGCAGGAAGTTAAAAAAGCCAAGATGGGAACATGGGTTAGGTGCTAGTAGTACAATATAATAAGTAAGGGCATTTTTTTTCATTTATTTTTTTGAGTAAAGGCATTTTTATCACTATTCAAATTCAAAGTGAGTTTGCATATTTGCAGGCTTAAAAGCACACTACTGAGGTTCTCTTGTGATCAAATGAATCTCAGATGCTTATAGGAATGATTTACCCAGAATTATTTCAAGCCCTCATTATTTCAAACAAATTTAATGGCCAAAGCAATGATGAAAGCCAATATTAGTATGTAAGCAATTATCTTTACTATTGCTGCTTTACAATTCTTACCTGGAAACTCCCAAAGCAACTTCCCCCTGGCAGGGTAACATAGCAGACATAGGGAGGGGTGTTGGAGGGAACCATTTCATAAACCACTAGAGCCCCATTCTTCAAGTCAGCCCCACGAGACTGCTTCATCTGCCAGAATTCTTGAAGTGCCTCCACCACATTCACTACAAAAAGAGAAGCAATTAAGTGCAGCAATGAGAACAACTCCAAGTGGTGCTCTGCTTCAATAGAGTATCTGTAACCTGTACCTACGTTAAGAGTCTACCCTCTTTAAGCATTTTAAAATTAGTAAACTTAGAGTATGATTAAGTCACTTTACATAGGAAGACCAGAGTATGCCTTCCCCTCCTTATAGTTTACATTTTGATTAGTTCTAGATACCAAAGGAGAGTAACTTAAATATTGAAGGCAGAGTTTCCAAGGGGAGCAGACCATTATCACTACCTGATGAAGTACAAGTAGATTATTCCACAATTGGTCAGCTGCCCTAGAATAAAAATAACCACCACAATAATAAGTGTTAACATTTAATGAACACGTAGTGTATGTCACCCATTTCTTTAAGTTCTTTACCCATTTAATCACCAACAACCTTCTGAGGTGGGTACTTTTATTCTCTCCATTTCACCAATGAGGGAAGTGAGGCATAGAGAAGTTAAAATAACTTATCTAAGGATGTAATAGCTAGAAAGCAGGAGAGCCAAAATTCAAACCCAGGAAATCTTGGTTGCAGTTAATGTTCTTTTTTTCTTTTTAAGATTTTATTTATCTATTTTCAGAGGGGAAGGGAAGGAGAGAGGGAGAGAAACATCAATGTGTGGCTGCCTCTCCTATGACCCCTGCCGGGAACTGGCCTGCAACCCAGGTATGTGCCCTGACCGGGAATCGAACCACAGTTGTTTGGTTCACGGGCCCGAGCCCAAACCACCGAGCTAAACCAGCCAGGGCTGCAGTTAATGTTCCTAACCATTATGTAATACTGCCATTCAAGGAAATATGGTTGTAGTAGCTATTCTCAAGCCTATGCTTCTGGCAAGCAAACCCATGGTCCTGGAATATTATGTGATTATATATATAAAATACTGTGAGAAAGAGAGAGATAGAGAAATGAATTTTTCTTCTGAGGCTTTCCCTAGATATAAATCTTTTTTGGAGAAACTGTCTATTGGGAGATCCTCCACCACAGGTCTCTTGCAATCTTCTTTCAGTCTTCCTGGGTATATCAAGATTTCAAGGCTCTGACTACTCTTTACTTAGGCCACTTCTCAGGATTATATATGTAGCAAGAAACCTTGACAGATGGATAATATCTTTGTATGGGATGAAGAACAAGCCTTCCATGTTGGACTTGGGAGGCAAGGGGGACTGATGTAAACAAACATGATGCTCATGCTACTTGCTGTGCTATGAGTAATAAACAGTCTTTTTGTCTCTGACACAGAATTTCTTGATTTCTGCCAGCACCCATGAAATAACTGGCTAATTTATTAGCTATAAATAGGGTAAAATCAAACTCTAGACTAGAAACTGTATTGCAGAATAGTTGCCCTCATCCCCCAATACTTGGGCTCAATTATTCAAAAAATATGTATTGAGTACCTACTCTGTGCTAGATTTTGTTCGGTGATGCTAGGCTATAATACTGAGCAAAACCATACATGGTTCCTTTTCTTTATGTAGCTTATAGTCTAAAGAGGGAGAGATATTAACCAAATAGTTTCAAACAAATGAAAAATAGCCAATGTGATAAGTGCTATAGAGGAGGGGTAGATGGTGGGAAATGTTACAGGAACAGCTGACCTAGTTAAGAAGCTACACTCACAAGGAGATATTTAAGCTGAGATCTGGTTATGAATTTACTAGGCAAAAAGGTAAAAGACTAATGCTCTGAGCAGAAGGAATGAATAGCATGTACAAAGGCTATGTGGCAGCAGGGAATATGGTGAATAAAGGGACTAGTGTGTCTAGAAAAGAGAGAGCAAGGGGAGATATAATGCAAGATAAGATTGCAAAAGGAAGCAGGGACCAGATCAGGTTGTATCTTCAGGCCATAACAGAAAATTGGCTTTACCCTAAGAGCAATGGGAAGCCTTTGAAGGGTTTTAAATGGAAGGCCAGATGAGATCACTTTGCCTTTGGAAAGGATCACTTTGACTCTAGGGTTTAAACATTTCAAATGACTTTAAAACCTCATAATAAATATTCTCCAATATCTTCCAACATGACCATTCTCTACTCTCAATTACAACTAGGACTCATTCCTTCTTTTCTTTTAATTGAATTTATTGGGGTGACATTGGTTAATAAAATTATATAGGTTTCAAGGGTACAATTCTTTCATATTTTGTTAATTCAGATTTACCAAGCAGAAAACACCAAGATAGTCCAGACATGTAAAAGATTTATTGGGAGGATGAAGAAGGTAGTCTTTAGACCATGCTGAAGGTCTGACACCAGTGGAAGGAGGGAGGAAAGGAAGGAGGTTTGGATATGAGGGTAAAGTACAGTAATAAAAAGGTTTGGCCAAGGCAGTGGGAAGCCTTCAAGCCAGTGGAGCCCCACATCTCACCAGATGTGCCTGAGTTAGTACACCTGCTGTGCTCAGTCATTGGCTGGGAGCAACCTACAGGGTATGTAAACTCAGTGCAAATATGTGATGGACCTAAATGGAATGGCAACTTAAGGCTATTATTCTCCGTGCAGTCAGTATTCTCCCTGCAGAAGGAGATGTCAACAGCACATTTTCATGACTGCCAGACACACAGACAAAAATTTGAGCATGTGTTAGGTACACCACTCCATTTTGAGCATTTGGGATGCAAATATAAATAACATACTCCCAGCAAGGGGTTAAAAAACTAGTGGCCAAAAATAACTGTTAGCTCATGTGCTCTACAATGGAAGCAAGCACTCTCGTGTACCAGCCAGAGTTCAAAAAGCTGACTTCCAGCCAAGACAGAGGTGTAGGTGGATACACTGTGCCTCCTTGCAAAACCAAGTTTAAAGAGAACAAAGTTTTAGTAACAGAAACAGAAACAAAACATGGAAAATTGAACTGTACCAAAGTCTGACAACGAACCATTCATCCAGACTGGTAAGAGGGACGGAGTCAGCGGCTGATGGAGCGGGGTCCCACAGGAAAAAGTGGCTTGACTGACCCAGGCACACAGGCAGCAGTTGGCAGATCCCAGGTGTGGGGTGGCAATGGGCAGACCCAGTGAAAGCGCAAGGCGGTTGGCTGCTCGTGGTCACACATTCGTGCGCAGATAAACCAGGTGAAGGATCGAGCAGTGAGACAGACTGCTCAGGCTAGGGCCCCACCACTGGGAATTAAATCCTAAAAGCACCAATTGGAAAAATGTTCGGGGTTGAGGAGCTGGGAGAAACTCCCAGGCTCACAGAGAGTTTGTTGGAGAGACCCACCGGGTCCTGGAGGGTGCACAGGCCCACACACCCAGGAACCAGTACCAGAAGGGCCCAGTTTGCTTGTGGGAAGCAGCAAAGGGGACTGAAATCCAAGAGAGAGAGAGCGTGGAACAAGCGCCATTGCCCCTCTCTGACCCCACCCCCACATACAGCATCATACCCCGGCCTAGTAGGTTGCTCCACCCTGGTGAACACTTAAGGCTCCACCCCTCATAAGTAACAGGCACGAACAGACCAAAACATTATGGCTCAAGAACAGCTCAGGACTTCCACCAAGATGGAGGCATAGGTGGGAAACACTGTACCTTCTCGCACAACCAAGTTTAAAAACAACAAAGTTCTAGCAACAAAAAATGCAGCCAAACCACAAAAAATTGAACTATATGTAAGTCCAACAACAACGAACCATTCAGCCGGACCGGTAAGAGGGGCAGAGCTAGCAGTGGAGTGGGTTCGGGCAGGAAAGATCCACCAGACCAGCCCAGGCATGCAGGCAGCCGTGGGCGGATCCCAGGTGTGGAGTAGCAACAGGCGGACCCACCGAGGGTGCAAGGCAGCAGGCTGATGGTGGTCACACATTTGTGTGCAGATAAACCAGGCAAAGGAGCTAGCACTGAGACTACGTAGGCCCCAGCAGCAGGAAGCAGCAGAGGGGACTTCTAGTGTCCCTCTCTGACCCTGCCCCCACATATAACGTCACAACCCAGCTACCTGGGTGGCCCCACCCTGGTGAACACTTAGGCTCTCCTCATACATAACAGATGCGAACAGACCAAAACATGGCTCAAGAAAAACTCAAAGCCCCAGAGCCCATAAATCTAAGTGACGAAGAAATAACAAAACTTTCAGATGCACAGTTCAAAACACTGGTGATCGGGATGCTCAAAGAACTGGTTGGTTTTAGTCACAAGTTAGAAGAACATATGAAGGCTAAACTAATTGAAATGAAGGGAAATGCACAGGAAACCAACAGTGATGGAAAGTAAACTGGTACTCAAATCAAGGGAGTGGACCAGAAGGAAGAAAAAATGACCAAACAAAAGAATGAAGAAACAAGAATTCAAAAAAATGAGGACAGGCTTAGGAACCTCCAGGACATTTTTAAATGCTCCAACATCTGAATTATAGGGGTACCAGAAGGGGAAGAGAAAGAGCAAGTGGAAAACTTATTTGAACAAATAATAAAGAACCTCCCCAATCTGGCAAAGGCAGTAGACTTCAAGGAAATCCAGGTGGACCAAAGGTGGACCCAAGAAGGAACACACCAAGGCACATCATAATTATATTAGCCAAGATTCAAATAAAGGAGAGAATTCTAGAAGCAGCAAGAGATCAGGGGACAGTCACCTAAAAAGGATTTCCCATCAGACTTGTCAGCGGATTTCTCAAAAGAGAACTTACAGGCAAGAAGGGGCTGGAAAGAAGTATTCCAAGTCATGAAATCCAAAGACCTACATCCAAGATTGCTCTATCCAGCAAAGCTTTCATTTAGAATGGAAGGACAGATAAAGTGCTTCTCAGATAAGATCAAATTCAAGGAGTTCATCATCACCAAGCCCTATTATATGAAATGTTAAAGGGACTTAACTAAGAAAAAGAAGATAAAAAATATGAACAGTGAAAGGACAGCAAACTCAACAGTTATTAACAACCACACCTAAAACAAAAGCAAACTAAGAGGACAGCTAGATCAGGAGCAGAACCATAGAAATGGAAATCACATGGAGGGTTAGCAACAGGGGAATGGGAGGAGGAGAAAGGGGAGATGGTACAGAGAATAAGTAGGATAGACGGTATGTAGAAAATAGGGGGGAGGGCAAGAATAGTATGGGAAATATAGAATCTAAAGAACTTGTGACACATGGACATAAACTAAAGGGGGAGGCATGATGGGGGAGGGGTGTGCAGGGTGAAGGGGAATGACGGGGGGAAATGGGACAACTGTAATGGCATAATCAATATATATATATATTTTAAAAAGCTGTATAAGCTCTTTTCTAACACCCTATATTTAACTGACTTTTTAGAATGTTCATTTTTCTATTAAAAGACACCATGAAAAGAAAAACCTCTTTCCCACACTTAGTTTTGGCAGGGGCTTTTCAAAGGTTACTGCTACCAAGGAAGCTTAGCTACCTTTGTTCTTTTCAATGAGATCTTTTCAGGACCTGTTCCCAATTTGAGATAATTTACCACAATGTACTGATTGACAACTCTCTTTACATGCAAACTAAAGGGAAACTATTGAAACAAGGAAGAGGAGGAGAGCACTGTAATGGGGAAAGTCCTATTAAAAAGCATAGAACTTCTGGCCAAGATGGAGGTGTAGGTGGAAATACTGTACCTCCTAGCACAACCAAATTTAAGGACAACAAAGATACGGAAACAAAAACACAACCAAAACAGAAAAAATTGAACTGTACCGACATCTGACAACAG